GGAAGACACAAACTAGAAATGCAGTAGTTATATAAATGAAACAAGCATCTAAACATAAACGATGCAAAACAACATCATATACATATTTATGTWGTATTCAACATATTTAGGCTATACTACTCAGGATGGAGGTGAGCCTTTACAATAAGATGACTTCAGGATAATATTCCTGGTGTTACATTTTCCCTGATCTCATSCAGTCTTCAYTACAAAGCATCTTCCTTTGTCATATTACTGATTGTGGTAATATTTAACTGGCCTTTGTCRCGTCTTTCATCTGTATCTGTCATGGAGCTGGTCCCACTGATTCCTGCTGCGTCCTGTGTGTGAATCAAGCTTCTGACCAAGCTTCTGACCTCCTTCCTGACCGCGGAGGACAGCAGGAAGAACATGACCGGGTCCAGGCAGCTGTTGAGGGCAGAAAACACCAAGGCTATCTCATTGGTTTTGTCTGCCACGTTCATCCAGTAACAGGGTGTATCTGTGATTTGGGTTTTGATGTAGAACCCCCGGAATATGTGATACGGGACAAAACAGATGATGAAGAGGAAGAGGATGAAGAAGGATTTTTTGGCGGATCGGTTGTAGTGGGGTGCTGTGGGCAGGTCGSGATGCTCTTGTGACCTCCTCAGGAGTTTCTGGGCAATCTTTCCATAAAACCTCATCAGGGAGATGAAGACGAGCCAGAAGACAACAAGCAGACTGATGTTGATGTGGACTTTCCACCTGTCAGMCACTTCTATCTTCCTGTAGTGGAAACACCTAAAAGAAAAATCAAGACTTTCAAATTAGACAGTCTTCAAACCCTACGTTTCAGTAAGCAAAAGTAGAAAATCTAACGAAGTGTCTACTACTTTTTTAAGGACCGTACATCGCTCACTGCCTTTAAGATCATGTTGTGTTGAGAAATGATTGCATTGCAGCTGTTTTGGTTAAACCTTGAAAGAGTTTGTGTWGTGTATGCTAATGGACAGACAGTGGTGGGCAGCGCTAATCCAAAAATTAGCTCCGCAGCTTCAAAAGCTCTTATGTCATAGAAAAACTACCTGAAGATAATTTTTATTTAAAGTTCAATTTGACACTTACTAGCTGACAACAATTCATGTACAATATATGCACAACACTGCCAACTAGTGGTGTATGAACCTTTGTACAGATTAATCCTACAACCACTGATTGTTGGGGATGTGATTTCCTGAAACAGACCTTTTGCTCCTGGTGTAAAAATTAAAAAGTTGTTGAGGATTGCTAKTTCGGCTGCTTCTTTGTCTTTTTCTTTTGTTTGTTGTAGATTTTTCATTAAAGAAGCATCAATAAAGTCACTTTAAAACTGTTTATTGGAAAACTGAAGCGATGCATTCTGGGTACATGACGGATTTGATTTGCGATGGGAAACGAAAGCACGGAGTACAGGAAACTATCTTCCCTTCAAAGTAAGAGCTTGGATTTTAAAGTTTTCCATGTAGTTGCTCCAGTTGACCACTAGATGTCAGTCTTCATCAGCATAACATCTTTAAATCATTTCTGAGTCTCTAACCCCGTTGCTTCGACCAATTACATCACGTATTGAGCTCCAGCGTTTAAACTTTATTTTTTTATAAAAAGGAGCTCCGATTGTAAAGTAAAATAAATCAATACATACAAAATTTTAGTATGGATTACAAACGTTTACTGTTTTTGCTGTTGCCTTCCTGCTACGTAAGCAGACACAAAGCATTGTGGGAAATCAGAACCGTGACCCAAAGCAACAGTCAGCAGGATGTATACCTTCACAATAAGAGTGTTTATCTGGGAGGGGTGCTGTTGGATAGATCACATGTTGTGATTCATTGACAGTCATACCTTCTGCTGTTCAACATAATGATGACTGSTAGATAATTAATTATTAGTTGTACTAATAACTAATTCTAGAAAGCACAAATCTGCTTATGAATTATAAAAATTAGGGAAACCACTAAAGCACAAACTAAATATTTAGGTCTGTATTTAGTGGATTTGTSCTTCAGCGGACTGGTGCCACCACTGTGGACAGACGTGTACACAGGCAGGCACACGGACAAAAATATTAAATACTTCTCAGCAATGAATATGGAAGATGGTAAAATGTCTTACGTATTTGGATCAGAAATTTTATTTGAGATGACGAATGGCAGCAGAAGAGCAAAGGCTGTGGTCCAAATGAAGGCACAGAGGACGGTGCTCCATGTGGTGGACTGCAGCCTGCGCCGCATCTTTGTGCTGCCGTAGATCTTCATGTAGCGATCGATGCTGATCAGYCCCAGAAGAGTGATGCTGATATACATGTTCATGTAGAAGAGGTGGCCCACCGCCTTACACAGCCTGGGGTCCAGAGTCCACTTGTTCCCCACGCTGTGGTAGTGAACCCTGAAGGGGATGCAGACCACCAGCAGCAGGTCTGCGAAGGCCAGGTTGATGAGGAACACCCGCACAGAGTTCTTCTTGCAGTGAACACAGAAGAAAACCCAAAGAGCCAACAGGTTCCCAACGAGTCCCAGGACAAAGATTACAGAGTAGATGACTGCCAGGGGGACTCGTAAAGTCTCGTTGTCCACACAGGAGGGCTGCTCGGCTCTGACTGGGACAGCAGGGTGGGAAATGTTTGCTGACATGATGGTTTTTAAAAACCTGTCCTGAAAACAGATGAAGATAAAACAGGTAAATGGTTTGATGTCTCTTCTCGTCACTCCTGATGTGTTTCTTAAAACAGCTTTACTTCCACTACAAATCAGATTTAATGTCTTTGTTCATTTTTCTAAACGTGATGATCCAAACCAGTCAAAGCTCAGGTTTGTGATCAGGCCCWTTATTAAATGGCACCAAAACAACTGAATTAACTAAATGCAGGCAGAAGCCACACTTTTGTGCAAAAGAAGTTTTTTTTTAATTTAAATGTATAATATATGTATACCTTCAGGATTTAAATACATATGTTGAAAACATGTTTTCTGTTGATTGTTAAATGTGTATTTTGTGACTTGTAGCACCTCTGCAGGAACAGTTTGTTGTCTAACTCTTAGTTCYATTTCTTTAAAGTACAATAATCTGTTCATGAAAAATAAACCTAAAGAACAATAAAACAATGAAACGTTGGTTGTATTTGCTCAAAACAAGATTAAATGYTTGCTGGACAATATTTCTTTCATGTCTGCAGTTTTTTCCTCTTACCTCAGACGTTTCCTTTGAGTTGAATTTGTAAAATAAATAGATCCAAACGTCCTGCTGTTAAAAAATGTAAAAGTTCATGATCTTTTTGTTGCTTAATTCCTCAGCTTTTTAACCTGGTCAGACTGTGAGCAGAAACAGAGAAATGAGACTAATTGTGTGGTGAGTCCTCCTCTTGTTGCCCTGCTGATCTGACCTGTGTCGGTGTGAGGAGCTGCTGARCTACACACTGCTGTGCTGTTGAGCAACAACACCTTTAAATGTGCTCAGCCCTCGAGTTAACACCCTCTTTTTTTCTGTCACCATGCAAATGTAAGGGGAAGTCACACAAAGATTTCTGCTGTGGAATCTGAAAACACTCCCAGATTAAAGCAGTTTGTCCTCCTAATAATTACAACAGTTCTGACAGAGGAAAACAGGTTGAAACTGAAACTGCAGAAGTCGATCATACGCTTTATAAAATATGTTACATTTCTTCTTTTATGTCAAYAATATACAAAAAGAACAACATTGATGAAAACAACTGAAAGAGTTGTTTTAATGTCTACAGAGAGGATAAACCAGCAGAATAATTAACCATGTTTCTGTTCAGTTTGGTTGGTTTCATGTTTTAAAACAGAAAATATTTCCATGCTCTTAGATGTTTCTGAGCTTTTAGTTTGCTCTTTTTGTTGATTGACTGGTTTTTCTTTTGTTGTTGTTGTTGTTGTTGTGTTCACCTCAGAGGACAAAGATAGGAATACATATGTGTAAAAAGTGCTAAATAAATAACATGCAAGTAGAGTTGATATGTCAATAAGCTGTGACCATTACTGATGGCTCCAAACTGTGGGAGAACTGTGACAAAATATGTGATCCGTCACATCAAAACAAGGATTAAGTCTAAAAGTGGATATGTAGAAATAGGTGTTTTAATCAATACACTATTTCTGCAAAATATAATGAATAAAAGCCTTATCAATGTATCATTTGAATGAACTGTCTGAAATATAATAATAAAACAA